TGTTAAATGGCATTTAAGTATATAAAATAAACATAAAAAATATAAGTCTTTGTTTTACTATGGTTGCAAAGATCAAAAAATTTCTATATGTGACACGGCACCAGAGTTTAGTTAGGGTTTTTCAAAATGCTGACACGCCGAGCTCAAAGGTTCGCCATCAACTGCCCTAGACATTGAGTAGTGCATCTCCAAGTTCCTCCATGTGGCTCTATTGGACAGAACCCAAGACAGTCCCCACACTGGCTCATTCCAAGGAGCACGCATACATCCCTTGCCTGGGGCTGACGTGGGTCCCAAGGCAGCAGCGCCCTTCTGATTCTGCCTCCAAAGCAGGCAGTTCTCTTGCTTTTCAGATTCCCACCTGGTAGGAGTGAGGCTCTGGCCAATGCCAATTTCAACTTTATCAAGAGTCGGTTGGGCACTAGCCTCTAAGTCTCAGCCTCAGGAAACACATCTACTGCTTTCTGAGGGATCTTCTCCCCTTAGCCCAGGGTGAGAGGGTTGCACCTCCTCCCAACTCCCCGAGAGCAGGAGGGCTTGGCAAATAATGCCGTTCCTCCACCCCCAGAAACCTCTTCTCTGATTTTTTTCATTTCCATTTCCTGACACTTTTTTTCTGTCCTTGATATAGCTGAGAAGTCCCAGGGGGAGCCCTCAGGTTCTTGGGAACATTTACTTTGAAAATCTTCATAACATGGTTTGGCACCTTTCTTTGGAATTTTGTTGTTGTTAATCCTCACCCGAGGTATTTTTCCATTTATGTTTTGGGGAGAGTGGAGGGGAGGGGGTGAGACACAGAGAGAAAAACATCGACGTGAGAGAGACACATCTATTGGTTGCCTCATACATGAGCCCCTACCAGCACCAGGGATTAAGCCTGTAACTGAGGTACGTGCCCTTGACTGGAATTGAACCCAGGACCCTTCAGACCACAGGTTGATGCTCTATCCACTGAGCCAAACCAGCTAGGGCAGAATTTTACATCTATTATTATTCTTGCCTGGTGGAAACTTCAGTTAAGATCCTATTACACAAGTAATAAACAAATATGATTCATGGGCCAATCTTTGAACCACAGTCCAGTGGTATAACATCTGTTACTAAATATTTTGAGTGTGTCATGTAAAAAAAAAAAAATGGGGACAACTCTCCAAAGAGTCTTATTTCATCTTTGACCACTGTGTTATTTAGCACTTGTTAAATAGAGCTGTAATAGAATAATTTGGAATGAGATACCTTACTGAGTGGATATTTTTTATATGGTGTAGTTTTATCCCCAAGGGCATCAAGTGGTCTTGACAGCTAAGACCTCTTCCAGCACAAGAAAGGGGTAAGCCCACCGGCTGTACAAGAGGGCGGGAAAGAAAGTGGCTTTGCAATCCTGAGCTGCTAGGAGACAAACTATCCCAAATTAACTCCCTCACCAGCTGAGCCCTCTAAACCCAGACTTTATAGGCACCATAATAGCATGTTTCAGCGAGGTCTGAAGGGAGGAGAGGGTGGTGGATGGTTCTATTTTCTGAGGTCAGGATATCTTTACAGGGTTGCTTGAGTCCAAAGCAGAGAGAAGGGAAATAAATACCAGTCTTTGGTCCCCAGATGTAACATAACCAAATCGTATGTGTTGCTGGTTGCTTCTGACCTTTGCAATTAAGATTGAGAGCCAGAAAGACTCTGTATTGCAGGGGTTTTCTCCATTTTGTTTGTTTGTATAAAACCAGCGTGGGAAATAGTTGAGTAAAATCCAAGCGCGTTTCTTTAATTTCACTTCTCCGGGGACCTGAATATGAAACGGAAAAGCACTTGCTTGCTGTTTGATTTGTTAAATTGGTGAGTCTGAGCGGCTGTCTCTTAGCCTTTTTGAACCTGTAGCCTGTTTTGGTGCTTACCCGTTTCCTGGAAGAGTCTGATTTTCTCCCTCCTCCCCACTGTGCAGCCTCCTTGAGATTTATATGCTTTCTGAGGTTATGGCATCAGAGAAGATGTTATCAAGCTTTAGTTTCTATAGTTTTTGTTGCACAAACAATAGGCATTTGTTGGCCTTCCAAATATATAAGCATGATTACATAATTGGATGTGCTTTTTTACTCTACATTGCACCTTCTCATGCTAATGTATCACTGTTAGTACAGAACGTCCGGCAATTTCAGAGAGCCCGCAGATCTCCTGAAGCTCATGTGTGAGCTCTTAAGGGACTGTTTCTCCCATCCCTACATGACCTCGTGGACTCTTTTTTCATCCTGTTGGATGTCTTTAACACTGTTAGAATCAATTTTAGAGTTGTAACTGGACCTACTGATCACCTAGTCCCATCTGTGAATTTTATGGAAATGAATTCCCAAAGAGTTTAAGCAATTTTCGCCAAGTTACACCACTGTGTTTGCACCACAGACCCTGAGCAAGAACTCAGCTCGCTGAATTCCCTGCTCAATATTCTTTCCACTAGATTTTCAATTGCTGCATCTCCCCTACTTTATCCCATCCCTTTTAAAGATAGCAACCAATGCTACAAAACAAACAAATGCCAGTGTAGCAAAATCTGCAAAACTACTTTGTAGTATTTATATACTAATGTCAAGCTGCCTTTATATTATAGTATCTCCAAAGCTGAGAAAATACTTATTCAATGGATATGAACCCACCTTTTTTGCCAAGTACTGTAAATGATACAGAAGAAAAAATACATAACCCTTAACTTCTGGTAGTTTAAAATTTGTTGGGTAGACAGACATAGTTCATATTCAGCTTGTGGTCAACTGTGACCTCTGGAACCTTTTAAAATACATTTGTAATTAGTGATTTCCAGCCGTCCACCACTACCCTATAACTTATTCCTCCTTGAATTCTTCTGTAGTTCATTTATAGCAAGAACAATTTGTGAGATTGGAAGGAATATAGAATAATTCTAAGATCATTTGTTGGTAAATTTAGTTACTAATAACATGGAAGCTCAAACAACAATAAAAGATAGGTAGTTTTGTCATTTTTTAGATGGGGAAACTGAGGCTCAACAAGAACATTGGACTTGTTCAGGACTGCTCACTTGGTAGTAGATGGAGCGGAGTCTTGTAGTTGAAGTTGCTAGTGTTAGAGCCCATAGTCCTAATTCCAGTCCATGCTAGCAAGAGCATAATAAAGTGGGGAAAAGCAAGTAGGGCAAAATAGGCTTGTTAAAAATTGTATTTTTGGCCCTAACTGGTTTGGCTCAGTGGATAGAGCATCTGCCTGTGGACTGAAGGGTCCCAGGTTCGATTCTGGTCAAGGGCATGTACCTTGGTTGCAGGCACATCCCCAGTTGGGAGTGTGTAGGAGGCAGCTGATCGATGTTTCTCTCTCATCCATGTTTCTAACTCTCTATCCCTCTCCCTTCCTCTCTGTAAAAAAATCAGTAAAATATATATTTTTTAAAAATTGTATTTTTGTCACAGTGAGGTTATGAACACATCAAATTAGTTAACTGTGAGAAGTTTCTGAACATGCCAACTTTTGTGTGTGTCCTTCCTAAAGCTGTGTGAATTTCTATGTGAGCAAGGGCCTTACCACTACAGGAGGAATCCACAGAGGTAGGTGATGGATGGACCATGCTCTCTCGAGATACCTTTGTTTAATTCATGTCTCACTTACCTAAGAATGGGGCCTGAAGCAAGAGTAAATGCTAGAGACATTTGGTCTCAGGACCTCAGGAGAGAAAAGGAATATAGCCTCCATGATTGTTATCTAAAAACTAGTGGCCCGGTGCACGGATTTGTGCACAATGAAAGGAAATTAATTAAAAGAAAGATTCGTGTGGTAATTATATTACTGCAAAAAATTACATGTCAAAATAGTATATGTGATATAGTATTGTAAAATTAAAATACAAATTATTTTAATAGTAAATCAGACTCAGGGCCAACAGTGCCCCAGTAACAACATAACCCAAGGCCTAAGGTGGAATCGCGCAGTTCCTGCGAGAAATGGGACTCCCTCCTCTTTGGTTCCGGAGTGCGACACCCGAGAACTGCCGCTGCCAAGTTCGCAGCTCCTGCATTGAGTGTTTGCCCCTGGTGGTCAGTGTGCATCATATGTACTAGCTGGTGGGATGGTTGGACAGTTGGATGGTCACTTAGCCTTTTATATATATAGATAGGTTGCCAGGTCAGGAGTCTAGGAAAATGGGACAACGAGACTGCAGATTTATTCTGAGGAAAAGGTTGTTTGCAAGGACCCACCTGTTAGACTCAGGCAGTTTTTACAAGGGTGAACCTTGTTTGTTCAGGGTACTCTTGTCCTAAGCTTTTCCCTATAAATCT